CCAAAATACACTGAGTTAGAATTCGATGTTCGAAGGAAAGTAAAGGTTCAGAATAAGCTGGAACGGTATCTTTGCCGCGACCGTGACGTATACACCCAGCGAACTTAGAGTGACCTAGTCTACCAAGTCAGCTCCTCTCCCTTCTTCAACGGAACACCAGCGCCCTCAAATGCCATTTCGGGTTTGCTCCGTTCCATTTAATCTCCACCGCAGACAATCACAGCAATCTTTATATTTCGTCAACGAATACTCTAGTGTGGTGAACATTCTTTAACGCTTGATGTTATAAAAAACAGAGATCACAAAAAATTATGGATATCTTTTGTTGTGAATACACTGCTATTTTTCACCAGCTTAGTTATGCTCATATTTTTTTTACAAATCGCTGTTCTGAAGTAAAAAAGCATCTCACATACCTTAGGGGGCTCGACCCTGCTAAGAGGTGGCGAGGCAGACGCAGTCGCTTTCGCTGTATTCGATGGAGTAGGTGCTTGCGGCACTGTTGGAGGAACCGGTGTTGCAGCTTGGACAGATGGAGAAACCTTTTCAGTGGTCGTTTGGCATGTTGCATTGACCTGGGACGAAACTGGAGCTGGCGATACGCCGGCCTAAGAATTAGAAATATGTGCTAAGATTAGAAGAGAAAAAAATCGTTATTTTGACATACTCTAGCAGTAGATGGACCCGAAGAGATATTCTGCGTGCTGGTTGTTGTTGTGGTTTGTGTCTCAACAACAGTGGTGAGCTTGGTGCCAACGACACGACTCACGCCTTTGTTTACTAGCTGGAATGTGCTATTATTGTCAACATGTATCGACTTATATTCATATCACTAAAGCTGGGCTAAGGTGAAGCTATGCTGTGGTAGTGTAATCGGCAGCACAAGTACCCGGAAAGCGAGTGATGCAGGTTGGACTACCACCTGGGGTGTTTTGACCGTAGCCCAGCTCCCTTGTGAAACTCAATTCAACAGCCGAAACAATAATGCACAGGAAAAAAGATGAGTGTTACCGCAATTATTTGCTCTAACTGATCCTCCACAATAGCAACATGATGCTGGGCTAGGCAGTTCTCCGCTAGCTGAAATGTGAGGAAATTGGCATTCGTTTAAAAAAGCATCTGGAACCTAGCAAAAATGACAAAGGAATTGAAAATTTTAATACGGGAGTAAATTTATGGTGAAAAATTCATTCGTTCTTATTCGTGGAAAAAAATGAAGGGAAAGCAATCTTTTTTTTTTCGAGTAAACATGGTTAGGCTATGATAATTAAGCAGACTACATTCTGAAAAGATTCACATTAAAGGGTTACATTAACTCAAATCGGAACTTACAAGCTTCTCAGCGATCACAGACGGTTTGTCAGAGTCTGGTGCAAATTGAAAAGTGACAGTTTTGTGTGCAGTATCAAGTTTACAAGAAACGAGCTGCAACAAAACATGATGAATTTCTCAGAATTCTCAAATTCATTAACAAGCTCCAGAAAAAAAAACTCACTGGCTGGTCCTTAGCATCATCCACTTTGAGTACTTCGAGAACTATCTTTCTTTTAGCTTTCTTTTTCTCCTCGTGTGCCGAAATGGTCTGCGCATCAGGGAAATCTTCCGAAGGCGGCTAAAAACGTGATAACTACGCCATGAGTAACTAAAGAAATGATGATCTGATAGAACTGACCACAGATGTCGAATACTGTTGAGCGGACTTTTCAGTAGATACTGCGGATGCTGCAGTCGCAGTGGTTTGCGGCACAGAAGACACGGTAGACGAAGGCATAGGAGGCGAGACCACAGGCTGCTGAGAAGTGAGTGGCTGCGTTGTTTCAGTATTGACTGTGGCGGAGGCTACCGAAGCCGACTCTCTCTGCAATAAAAGGGAACCCTGCTCACCTTCTATTTGATGCAGCAAAATTCGCTTCTCTGATGTGATGAAAATATAAAAAGGACCTAACGGATCACACTTCACCTGAAACTATTGAGCAAACCAAACGACATGAAGCTCACTTGTTCCGCTTCGAGACGTTCTTTCTCTTTCGCGCGAGCTTTCATCTCTTCCTTAATAGCTTGCTCTTCGCGTTGACGTTCTTCTTCTTCACGCTGTCTCTTCAACTCTGCAATCTTGAACTCCCTATCCCTCTTGAAGCTTTCTACCTGAAATGAATCAAGCAATGCTTGACAAGTAGACTGGATGGGATTCTGTCGTACCTTATCTTTAATCAATTTTGTAATCATCTTGGTATCCTCGTCAGGTATGTGCTGCTGCTCAATCATCTGTTGCACTACCTAAATTCATCGATGCACAGTTCCCAAAACTTCCAAAACCTCTTCATTAGTTTGCACCGCAATACAGTACCGTATCAAATCAACATTGAGACATTATTTCGGGAAGGGAAGGAAAAACCTCTTCAGCTGTATC